CGTGTGTGAACGATCAACAGATCATAGCAGAAACACAGGACCTGATTGAGAACTCTTGAGCCCCTCGCGTCCGGCGGATCACGTGAACATGATATAAGCTTATGTTCAAGTGTACTGTATTTTAAACCGTTCAGATGATGTTCAGCTGTCACGCGTCACGTTTTGCACATGCAAACACAACACTTTTCTCCTGAAAATGTGCAAATGTTGCTATTTTTACCCATTCTGTGTGTTGCTCTTCATAATTTAAGTGAAGCTCAAAGCACTCGTACTGTACTTTAATGGACCCTTCTCTTTCTGCGTCATCTGCAGGGAAATGTTGTCGTGAATATTAATAATCATATGAGCTGATATCATTTGGACTGTTGTGTATTAGCAAAACTTTCTGTCCTGAAAGCCACTTCCTTAAAAAATAACCTTCACCGCATTTTGACTTCCTTTTAATATCTTTGTCGCAGATGATCTCCTTTAATTTCAACTTCTTGTATTTATTTCTAGAGTAAACAGGGTTACAGTTTTACTTTCTGACTGGAAAGATGACAAACAGTCCATTTATTTTACATTAGCCTTTTCTCATTAGCCTGTAAAGAAAATGTGTAATTCTTTTCTTGTATTCTATATAGTATTAAGTGTATATAACTGTACCTATGGCAAACGACTCACTCCATGTTTAACTGTTGTTTTTAAGACACACAACATATGTGAAAATTTGATTAAATGCTCATGATTCTATATTCATATGTTTCCCGTGTCTTTAAATGTCCAAAACGATGCACAAGTAGCAACAATCAAAGACTAATAACTGGCCTAGTCATTTTTATTTGTCAAATACTAATAAACATAAGAGAAAAACAACCGAGTTTGAGAAATATATCTATTTTAACAATAATATATGTTTTTTTTATTTTTTCAAATGATTTACATATAATTCATAATTCATTTTTAAAATGTGAAAAATGTTTTTATCCATATATATTGCCAGTAATTTAGAGAGTTAATCTCCTCCTCCTTTTTAATTGGTTTAAGGATTGAAATCATAGACTGTAAAAAAAAAGATTGAAATAAAAATGTTATCAAAAAGATCGTCTTGAGGTGATTCTACTTCCCGGTTTTTGTAACTCTTCTGACGTCATCACCAGTCTGACCAATGAGAGACGCTCACAGCTCTGAGTCCATCTGACTGGTTACTGGGCGGGCCATCACGCCAGTCGCTCTGTCCGCTCATTGGTCCCTGCGCTCTAAACCCATGACGCCTCAGCCAATCAGAGGAGTCAGTCGATCGTGTGAGTGAGGGATTGTCGCTGCGCGCTGTTGATGTTGTCCAGGATCTCTGTAGAGTTTGAATGGAAATAGCAGCGTGTGAATTTCAGTTCACCTGTTAAGAAAAGCGCGTAATAGACACACACGGGGAAAATGGACATCCTCAAGTCTCTAGGACACCCAGAAGAAATTATCAACCTCTTTAAGTACAAAATTGGAGGATGTCGTTCTGTTATGCCTAAATTGGATTATGTAAGTAAAAGCATTTTGAGCGTTTATCTTTAATATTCATCAGCATATGATCTGCTTGAATGTTGTCCATGCACAATACATGTTTTGTGTTTATTTGTCATTACGCATGACAGATTAATAATAATAATACTAATAAAGACACGTGTTTTTAGAAGATTAAACAGAGATTGAATTAAGTTCCAGTTGCAGGTACCAAACAACAAAACTGCATTTCAATTATTCCACATAGTTTCTGGCATAAACACAATGTCTGTCGCATCCACTGGATTTGATTTAATCCTGGATTTGAGGGGAAGGTTTAGTTTAACAGAAAGGAGACCCGAGGCTTCTTCTTATATAATGAGATTTGAAACTGGACGGTCACACAGGGGAAGATACACAGATAATCCACAGTCAAACACACTCATTACTGATAGATAGATAGATAGATAGATAGATAGATAGATAGATAGATAGATAGATAGATAGATAGATAGATAGATAGATAGACAGCCAGGTAGACAGACAGATATATAGACAGACATATATATATATATATATATATATATATATATATAGACAGACAGAAAGACAGACAGGTAGATAGACAGACAGACACAGACAGATAGATAGACAGACAGACACATAGACAGACAGACAGATATATAGACAGACACATAGATAGACAGACAGATAGACAGACACATAGACAGACAGATAGATAGATAGACAGATAGACAGACACATAGACATATAGATAGATAGATAGATAGATAGATAGATAGATAGATAGATAGATATATAGACAGAAAGACAGACACATAGATAGACACACAGACAGATAGACAGACACATAGATAGACAGACAGATAGACAGACACATAGATAGATAGACACATAAATAGACAGACAGACACAGATAGATAGATAGATAGATAGATAGATAGATAGATAGATAGATAGATAGATAGATAGATAGGTAGACAGACAGGTAGACAGACAGACAGATATATAGACAGAAAGACAGACACATAGATAGACACACAGACAGATAGATAGATAGATAGATAGATAGATAGATAGATAGATAGATAGATAGATAGATAGACAGATAGATAGATAGATAGACAGATAGACAGATAGACAGATAGATAGATAGATAGATAGATAGATAGATAGATAGATAGATAGATAGATAGATAGATATACAGACAGATATATAGACAGACAGACAGACAGACAGATAGATAGATAGATAGATAGATAGATAGATAGATAGATAGATAGATAGATAGATAGATAGATAGATAGATAGATAGATAGATAGATAGATAGATAGATATACAGACAGATATATAGACAGACAGACAGACAGACAGACAGATAGATAGATAGATAGATAGATAGATAGATAGATAGATAGATAGATAGATAGACAGATATAGATAGATAGATAGATAGATAGATAGATAGATAGATAGATAGATAGATAGATAGATAGATAGATAGATAGATCATTACATAAACGTTCATAGAATTTATAATCTGTTACACTGTTATTTTTTGCAATTAATTTAATTTGTACATTTCAATTTAAGTTGTTATAATACTTTGTTTTTATTGATGTCTTCACTATGCTATGTGTTACAAGCTTTGGCAATATTGTAATATGTACAGTCATGCCAATAAAGCAATTTGAATTGAATTGATAGATAGATAGATAGATAGATAGATAGATAGATAGATAGATAGATAGATAGATAGATAGATAGATAGATAGATAGATAGATAGATAGATAGATAACCATTAAATTCCATGTCCAATTAAAAAATAGCGATGAACAGAGTCTCCATCACACAGAGCTGAGCTCGAGCTGAAGTGAGAGAGAAACACATCGGCCGATCGGCATTAGAGATGAGACTCGTTCTCCAAACACTGAGTACAGAGAGAGACCCTAAACTGAGGAAAGTCCTGAGCATGGACAGACTCGGTGAACACAGTCTGACCATATAGACAGACAGACACACACCTCTCTCTCTTACACACACACAGACTCACTCATAGATGGGCAGATAGATGAATGTAAGAATGTACAATTTATTTATTTATTTATTTATTTTATTGGCTATGTATTTTTTACTGGCATAAGTTGTCAAGTCACCTTTATTTTTATTATAGCACTTTATAGCAGCTTCAGTTATAACAGGAACATAATGCATTTTGGCTGTTGTTCAGCTGTAGTCAGTTAAGTGTTGATTCAGATCCATTGTAAAGATCCTCAATTATTAATTTATGTAATTTAATCTATAAAGGAGGTATTGAAAATTATGTCATCGTCCAGCTGTCATACAGCAGAGTCAGTCAATAATACTGTTGAATATTAAGTGTAAGTGTGGACTTAAACTAAGAAGTTCAAATACAGTAAATACATTCATACATATTTCCCATAGCCTACATATTTCTGAGAATATGGAAAACACAGGACTAAAGTTTGAGTGGGCGTGTCCAAACATGACTTAACTTGAACTGCGTCATCGTTTGCAGTTGGTCAGAAAACGTGCGCGTGTTTGGTTTAATCGTTTAAAGTGGGGAGGGAAATATTAAAATCACATAGTCTGTTTACATATCAGGTTACAGTGATATATATCACACAGTCGCGCGCACTGAAACGCGCAGCTTTGACGCTCCGCGGAGCGACGGGCGTTTTTCTTCCCCTCTGGCGAATGACTTGACAAATTAAAGGTGTGCATTTCGTACTACGTGGAATTGGAAATAAAAGCTCAATCCGTGCACATGGCTGGTGTTTGCGGGAAGAGCGCCGTGTCGCTGTCCGTGCTCAAGCGCTCGTTCTCGCTGCAGCGCGGGTGCCCGTGGCCTGTGCTCGCGGGCGCGCGGCGCTGCGCCATGGAAGGACGGTCACTGGCGGTTCCTCCTCACCCGTTCAGGGCTCATCGACACCCCGCTTATGTGTGCTTCTCCTGCCAGGACTCGATGACTGAAACCCTGCGGACCTGCTATTCGTATCTAAACCAGACCAGCCGGAGTTTCTCCGCGGTGATCCAGGCCCTGGATGGAGAGTTACGGTAAGACTAAGAGGCGTGACCTCACTTAGTAAACAACAGTGACCCTAGACCACAAAACCAGTGACATTGTGATTTTTTTAAATCAGATGTATATATCATCTGAAAGCTGATTAAATAAGATTTTCATTGATGTGTGTTTTGTTATGATAGGACAATAATCGGCCGAGTATCAACTATTTGAAAATCTGAGGGGGCAAAAAAAAAAATCGAAACATTGAGAAAATCGCCTTTAAATTCGCGATTGTGCGGCATTCACTCACAAAAATAAACGTAAAGTAAAGGAAATTTACTAATTATCTAAGTTAATGAAACACGATCTTTACTTAATATCCTAATGATTTTTGCCATAAAAGAAAAATCCATAATTTTGACCAATGCCTCAAATACCCGTGCGACGTATGACTGCTTTTGGGATCTACGGTCACAAATAGGGCGCTATTTGAAGAGACAGCCATTTGTAGTGGTGTCCGAAACCATAGTGGACGTTATTGAGTGCACTTATTCAATCCCACAGTCTGCGATAACGAGTGTACAACCGATCCCTCTGAACTCACTCGTTTTCATTCACTCCTTCAAGTGAACTGTATTAGTGGACTAACGTAGGGAATAGTGAATAAGGGGTTTAGGGGCCTTGAGACGCTCTACACCGGGTAATAGTGTTTTGAGGGAAGCATATGGTCGTTTTGGACACTTTTACTTGTTCGCAAGAGTTGTTTCTATATATAAATGCCCTTTAACATTTCTCTTAAAGGGCCAGTACACCCCAAAATGAAAATTCTGTCACCCTACAGTTGTTTCAAACCAATCACAAATTAAGATATTTTGAAGAATGTTTATAACTAAACAGTTGTGACTTGTATTATATTTTTTATACTACTATGGAAGTCAATGGTGCCCCACACAACTGTTTGTTTGTTTTGTTAATGAATAGTATTTTAGTTTGATAACATTTTATGGTACTAAATTATATGTATGGAATAGTTCTGACCTATTTATTATTATCTGTTAATCACCTTTTGAGCGAATTTTTGTTTCAAATCTGTATGAATTTCTTCACAAACGGAAGATATTTTGAAGAATGTTTATAACCAGAACAGTTGCACCATTGACTTCCATAGTATTTTTTTTCCTATTATGGAAGTTACTGTGTGTGTATAATTA